ATAAATATGTATACTTGCAAAATTGTATCGAACCGTTTATTTGTTTACCGTATGTGCTGCGCTATATATGTGCGTATGTATGTGTATGCTTGACAAAATGAGAATTTACATTTGAATTTTCATGAAATTCGATAATTTCAATATAAATGAAAATGATTTTTTACACTCTTCCGATTCTGTTGCTTGAGTGAATCAATAATACTTACAAATTTAAAAGACGCCGACTCGACACGTTCTGACAAGCGCCAGTTGTATAAGCAAAAACGAAGACATTACTTCCAAATGACATACTCACGATACGTCCCGATGATCGCACGTCGCTATTTTCGACACTCCCGATACTTATTTACGCGCGGGACTCATTTTCGACCAACAAAAGATACGTAAAACGTGGAGCGATAATGATCAATGCGTTAACGACGGCTGCTCGACGAAATCAAAGATGGCCGCGTCATTGATCACGTACGTATGGAAAGTGCGCGCCGCGGAATGACGGTGATGCGCTTCTATGACGCCATCTGCACACTCGCGGGTGCATTACTATTCGATAGATCGATCTATTCGATAGGTCGATAGATACGAAATTCCCGACCAGCCACTTTCTAAAGTACATTCAACGTATTTTTCATGACATGCTATACTTATAATGATGATTCCGTTATGAGTATAGCACTGCAATCAATAGAATCTCGCTGAAAGGATCAGTTAGCAGTAGTTAACTGATCTTCCAGTTTAGCTACGTGCACCGCTACATATTCACGCGCAACACGCATTTTTTGCATGGAGAATTATTGCTCGTGTGCGCCTGTCGCGCGTTTAAGACATGTGATTCCACGTAATACATCTCTGGGCAACTGACGTGTAAAAATAATCACGGGCTTTAATATCGCGCTGCATTTGCACGCTATTTTCGTGAAATAACTTTTCCTTCGGCGCATTACCCAAAACCAGTTGAAACATCAACGCGAGCGACGCTGCTTTCCACCGATAACGAGCTTAACATTCATATTTAGATCCGCGCGTTCCGCGGAGAGAATGTAATCAGCGATCGATATGTGGTCGTTTGTTTTCTCTCCTTGCGCAATGAATACACTTTACTTGTGAAAAATGAAACCGCGAGCAGCGGTTGAATGAATGGTGAGCAATTTGTGAAATTCTCAAAATACACGCCGCAAAGATTCTCCATCACAAATGAAACCGTCTGTCCGAGTCAAAATTTTGCTTCCACATTAATTATGCAAATTCCATCAAACTTGAAAAACTAATGAAGAATCTCAAGACACAACATTATAGAAACTATATATATCATATATCGAATAATTTAATGAGGATTAATATATAAGAAGGTAAAAAAATCAATACATTTTATTTTCATAGTCTATTTTTTTTGCTGTCGAGAGTGTCGTTGAAGCTCTTAAACGAGCTGATAAGAAGCTGTAAAAGCAATGATAACAGTTATGTATCCAATAATGCTTATCGATAGGAATTTTTAAATATAGTTTCCGCGCGCGTACAATAACAAGACTAAATATAAATAAAATATTGACAGTTTTAAGCAGAATCATGGCTCAAAGAGCATTATTGAACGTAAAAATTCACATTTGCAAGATTTACATTACAAGACCGATATTCATAAAGAATTGGAAATTATTTATCATATTTGATTGAGAGCATATTCGATTATAGATTCGCATTCATGAGTCGGCTATTTCAATAAACGTTTCTTGTGTAAAATAAGCGAATATATTGCATACGATTATTGAATAATCAAAGATTAATAAAGTTACCAGATTATTTGCCAAATGACGACGGTCTATGAATATCGGGCTAAATTTCGACTCGGATATTCGTTAAAGACGAACATTTGTATAATAAATAATCGGACACACCTGTAAATGTATGATGCATCGTCCGCGCTTCGTAGCGTCCTGCGCCCTCTCTCTCTCATAATCTCACCTAACTTCCCGACTCAGCATCCAGGCTCTCGCTGCCCCGTCGTAGTGTTTCGGATATTTCCCTCGTGGCACTAAACTAACACCCGCGATAGATACGATCCGATCGTAGAAACGCGGTCAGTGAACGCGACGAAAGCAACGAATGAATATTGTAAGGGAGCCGGCGAGAGAGAGTGATAATTCACGCGCCGATATACGCGCTCCGCGTCGCGTGTACGCGTCGCCCGCCGGCTTGAGGCGTAATGACGCGGTCACGGTCAAAGTCGCGGCGCGCGACACAATGGATTACGTGCCGCGAGATAAAAACATTTCGCGAGTTTAAGCACCCATCACACACAACCCAAATAGAACAGGTTGCCTATTGGTTAACGTTCTTGAAGCTAACTTTTGGAACGTATCTATAAGATAACAAGTCAGTGTCAATAATTTGTCTCCATTAATATGACGTCGATTAAATAAGTTTACAGTTTACAGTTTACAGTTGGTTAATAGCTATTTCATTTACGCATCTTACAGTTATCATTTAGTATATATTTAATTTGTATTCATACACCAACTTGATACTTTTATCTAAATGATATCTTTTTGGATATTAAAAGTTATCTCTCGGGACGAACTTTTTGGACATTAAATAACCTTTTCAGTAAACAGAAACTTAACTTTTTTACCGAAAATAAAGTTATCCTGATCTAATTTTATATAGTAAAATGGAATACTTTAAGATAACGTTGTTCTACTTGGGAACGCCATCTTCTCAATTATATTCAAAGGATTATTATCTTACAGTTATCATTTAGTATATATTTAATCTTACAATTATCATTTAGTATATATTTAATTTGTATTCATACACCAACTTGATACTTTTATATCTAAATGATATCTTTTTGGATATTAAAAGTTATCTTTCGGGCGGACATTAGATTACCTTTTCAGTAAATAGAAACTTAACTTTTTTACCGAAAATAAAGTTATCCTGATCTAATTTTATATAGTAAAATGGAATACTTTAAGATAACGTTGTTCTACTTGGGAACGCCATCTTCTCAATTATATTCAAAGGATTATTATCTTACAGTTATCATTTAGTATATATTTAATCTTACAATTATCATTTAGTATATATTTAATTTGTATTCATACACCAACTTGATACTTTTATATCTAAATGATATCTTTTTGGATATTAAAAGTTATCTTTCGGGCGGACATTAGATTACCTTTTCAGTAAATAGAAACTTAACTTTTTTACCGAAAATAAAGTTATCCTGATCTAATTTTATATAGTAAAATGGAATACTTTAAGATAACGTTGTTCTACTTGGGAACGCCATCTTCTCAATTATATTCAAAGGATTATTATCTTACAGTTATCATTTAGTATATATTTAATCTTACAATTATCATTTAGTATATATTTAATTTGTATTCATACACCAACTTGATACTTTTATATCTAAATGATATCTTTTTGGATATTAAAAGTTATCTTTCGGGCGGACATTAGATTACCTTTTCAGTAAACAGAAACTTAACTTTTTTACCGAAAATAAAGTTATCCTGATCTAATTTTATATAGTAAAATGGAATACTTTAAGATGACATTGTTCTACTTGGGAACGCCGTCTTCTCAATTATATTCAAAGGATTATTATGAATCTAAATCGAAATCTCTATTGTAGCGCGGTGTTATTTTATTATTACTGTGCACATACGCCACTGTTAACTTGGAATTGAAATCTCCACTGTTGCATAGTATTATTTTATTGTTACTGTTCACGCTATTATCAACTTTATTATCCTCGCGAAACCTTCCCTTACACTCCCTTCGGGTCTCCGAATCTCATTGAAATTAAAAGGAACGTTTATTATTCGTTCTATCACTAATCCCATTACTCACCTGTATTATTCTTTTTGGTTAACGCTCATACTTTATTCTTAGTTAAGTACATACGAGGGTGGTCTGAAAAGTTTCCGACCTCAACGTGAAGATAGCAGCACTTGTAAATAAAAGCTAGTGAATTTCGTTGTTCATCTGTTGACAGTTACTCACCGAAGTT